CCACCTAAAAAACCGAGGTTTTTAACACCAGATACATGAGAAGATAGAGTAAAGCTTTCTCTACAAAATGGTGAAAATCAGGCTTCTCGATCACTTTTTCTTCGAGAGTGACCAAAAAACCATCCGCGTACACTAAACTTGGAAACGATAGTAATCATACAAAAACACTAACTTTTTCCGAAAGACTTCAATATATTTTTTCGCTTTCTGTGTCATACAAGCCGCCGGAGTTGCGAAATATATAATTTCTTATACATTTTTATAACGGAACATAAACTGCGATATAAATTGTGGTAGCGCAGTGCCACAGTATTGGAGTAGAGAACGAATGTGTTGACTCGATTCGCAGCCACATTTGGCTGCCTATCAAGTCGTCACGTTTCGAAAGCCTTGCCTTTTGTTTTATACGAAAGCCATGTAAATAGCTTTTACGGGGCCTTCGTATAAAATAAAAGACTAGGCTTTCGTAACGCTTTCCTCTAAAATACACGGCTTTCGTAATTTTAAAGCCGATCTCGTAGGCATTTTTAGAAATCCAGGCTGCCAAACCGTACCCTTCTACACTGGTCCAAATTAGGCATGCATGAGTCCGAATCCTACTCTAGATACTCGATTGTTCCTTAAATCTGTTATCGAAACCAAGCTATAAGACCGATGGTCATTCTTTGAATAACTGTTGAGCGAAAGTAGATGAAGACCCGAGGTTTTCGCTATTCGATAGTCAGGATTTAAGAGCATGTTTTCGTAAGCAGATAAAATTAAGAATTTTTTTCAGTTTTCATCTCTGGAAGATGTTTTCCTAACCGGAAAATTTGACATAGCAATATATTGATTTTTCATGAATAGATAGACTAAAGTGTCCTCCACAAAACAGAACCTAAATGAGAGATTCATCATCCATGGTTACACAGGGGACGAGGTTTCCCTGGGAGCCCTAGGACTGCTCTTCATTTCAGTCAATGAATCTCAGCAATGCATGGAATCATAGGTTTTGACTATGCTGATGCAAATGATGCAAAAATGGCTTGAACTGGTCTGTTAACAGGAAGTTTACGGAATGTTAACTGACCGTTAGTGACATATTTTTGACATCATGAATCGGCGACAAAATAACACGTTAACGGGAAGCTCAATAGAGTCTAGTGTGAAAGCTCAGAATGGACCGTTGTTTGGTTGATCAATATCCGTTTACTAATCGTTTTCAATATATCATACTAAATGGCCAGTTTAGTACATTAGCTACTTTTCAATATATATTCACTACATGAACAAAATAGGAATAAATGTCAAATTTTAACAAAATTATTATACCTGTAAAGAGTGAGTACAGCAACTGTCTCGACGAAAGATGGCCTTTTGCCCGAAATAATTCAATACTTAGAGCTGGTAAATGTACTCAATTCAGTGAGTTTTCGACTAATAAATACTCAAAATGCGATCAATGAATAATCTCTTTCGTGCTTTTTTCTTTTGTATATGTTCTTCTTCGTCTTCATTCACACATACTACGCATGGGTGCTTCTCAATATTTCTTTTGACGTATGGAAAACGAAAGAATACTGTACTTCATCGTATTTTAAGTGCTTGTAGTTGCCAAAATATTGAGACCAGAAATAGAATGATAATTCGTTCATACTGTCGTTTTTTATCTATTGGATTAATGATAGCCACATTTCTGGCTTATACGGTCGTTACTCGTAATCGTCTTTATTCCCATAGTGATGTGAAAAATAATAATTCGTACGTTGAGCAAATGAAATCGAAGAATCTGAATTCTCACACACAGAAACATAATTCAAAAGTCTCAAATATTTATCTTCGCGATATAATTAACTTAGAACCATTAAGACTAATTTTAAATACTACTGGTTTATTGTACCAGTTTACAAACAGTACAATACGTACTAAATCAAAACAAGCGATTGATTTTCCATACACATATCATAACAACAGTGATTTAAATAAATCAATTGGTTTAATTATAATGATTCATGGTTATCGACGTTTAGGTGATGATTGGTTTACACTTTCAGGTGGTCGACGTATAGTTCGATCATTTTTGGCGGCAGGTTAAAGGCTATTCAACATTGACACATTCATTAAAAATATGCGTGTGATAAGTCGAGCAAACATGTTGAAATAGGAAACACTGAATATAATTGGTCAACTACCCGAATGTAAGGAACTGTTCATGTATGAACAGATAAAGCTCTTGCTCAAGCGTTTATACATGTGTAAATTATTGGACTCGTTTGTAATTTAAAAACATTCCTTATATTTTTCTTTGTTCGGACAGCTATTAAGAATAATACCGTACGATGTTTTAGCTATGGACAAACGAAATCCACCTACGTCTTTTGATTTAAACTGGCCTCTGAAAAATCAGACGACTAATACTGATGTGCTCAACGTATTAGTTGCTTTTCATACTTGGCTCAAGCAACATTATCGTGACGATAATAATCCTAATTTATTTTTATACGCTGTATCATCTGGCTGTAAATTTGCCACGATATTATCTCGTGCCTTACCTATTATTGCACAAGTTTTACTTGTTGGTATTGGTTCAGTAGAAGCGATAACAACTCCATTAACACGACGATTCAGTGCAAATTTGTCACAATCACTTGCTCCTGTTTTTACTCAATCGAATTTATTTCCAGTATCTCCCACGTTATTCAATTATGCATTACATGACAAAAATATCGTTATCGGTCAAATATTACCTCAAGTGCAACTAATGCGTCAGAATTCATTTGAACTAGGTGGTTTTTTATTGACATATAATGAGAGCATTCATATATTAGTCATTCACCCATCTGAATTAGGCGCCTTAACATTGCAAGAAAAGTTAGATGAATGGCAATTCAAACCCTATTTATCCCGTCTATTTTATCAAATTTCTACATCTGATTATTATAGATCATCTAACTATTATGCAACATCAAATTCAACAATAAAAGGTAAAACATTTTGGTGTACAACAGGTGATATAATAGACGCAGTTCGACAATTTATTGATGTCAAGAAGTCTTCTTTCTTTTTTTTTCTGTCAAAAGAGAGAAAACAGGCCGTTAATAATGCAAAAGAACTACTAAATGAATTAATGAATACAACTCTGTTTGATCGAATACAAGAAGAAATTTGCGGTGGGATAAAGGCGATGCATGGCGTGATGAGCGAAAGTATTAATCAAACTATACAATGGATGAATTTGATGCTAGAAAGAAATTTAGAATATAAAAAACAAATAGATGTAAAGTTGGATATTCATTAAAACATAACACTTTTTTCAATTTGTGTTCCTCAAATAATATCCATTGATATTAGTTCTTCATTCGAATAGAAGACATATTTACGATCGGGGTACCCTTTGAGTTCGAGCGAGTTTACAAACAATATGAAAAAGAAAGCGTTTGATCAATACCGTATTGGATGTTTCTTTTGAAAGCGTACCCAAAGCAAGGAGGATTATTGTAGCTATTGATATTATGACCACACGTGGAATAGAAGAATATGATGATGGAACAATATGGGAAAGACATACAAGACAATCCTGTATTTGGGCTAATGTGTCATCGGTTATCCGTGAAATGTGACTTGTGAAATGAAAATCGTTTTTAGTTATTGATGCTTGATCAGAAATTATTTTACCCAACGTCAAAGCCATTATGTTTAAACTCGGTAAAACAATACCACGGACAACCTGTGATAGATGATCAACTTTTATCTGTGTAGATTGAATATTTATACTCGTTTCAGCTACTTGAATGATATATTCTTTTTAAGTACATGATACTCGACATGCTCTACAAGACACACAGATCAAAATCTCTTCATATTAGGTTTCAAAATGAATCTCCAGAGACTGGTTTTTCGTAGATTCAGTCAAAAAGTCCATATTGCCAAGAACGGCTTTCAGATTTGGAAAATCAGTCTGTAAAGATTCATTTTGAAACCTAATACGAAGCGATTTTGATCTATCTGTCTTGTAGAGCCTGTCGGGTCACCTGTATTGAACCATTTTTAGATCTAGAGAGTGAGTTTTGGGTGCGTTCAAGAAATTTTGCACTAAAAGAAGGTGAAAAGGCAAGACTTTATTGTAAATTGCGTTCGGAGTCTCTCTGGTACGTTCGAGAAGAGGATTTTATGCTCATTTGTATCTTTAAAATAAGTGTATAGGATGTGTTTAAACGAAAGACGATCCCTCTCCATTTCAAAATGTCAAGGAAGTTTGCTTTCCAAGATCACGAGTTCATGAACAGTGTCAAGAAAAAAACTGTGATGAATCTATCTTCATAACTTGGGCTCGCTGTTCGGTGAAACTATGTGTTCAACACTTTTTTGTTAGTTATCATTTTTATTGAACTAACTGTAAGCATATTTCTCGGCGCATATCTGAAATTTTTTTAATCTGCTCACTATCTTCTAGATGTAACAAATGCCTGAATAGAATGTTTTCGACTATAAAGCGGTGCAATTAAATAGTATTTTCGAAGAATCAAACGTGCAGAACTAAAAGTTTGAACGTAAAAAGCTGTTTTTCGGCTGTAGTATTAAGTTTTGACCCTTTAAAAACCGTTCCAAAACTTTAAAAAATAGTTTTGCGTAGGTTTTAGAGCATGCGCTTTCATTTGTACGGATCAAAACAAAATTTTGATCAAAAACGTTTTTCATTGCGAAAACCCAGTTTCTCAAAAATCGAGGTCTCAAAAGACGCAGGCAAAAACTATCATCATATTCGGAATCAGCATGCTCGGTTACCCATTGTCCACTAAGTTTTACGTCAAAAGCGATTTGACAGTCGGAGGCCTTCCCTCGTGAATTAGTGCACCTGCTCTATATGTGATATGTTTTCAGAACATGCAAAAAGAGGAATTTGTTATTATTATTTGTTTCAGATCTAGTGTCGTGTTAGGTCTGAAACAAATAAACATAAAATGTGATATAGGGCAGTAGCACTATGTATGAATAATAATTGAAAAAAAAGTAAAAAATAAAATAACTTGAAAAAGAGACGAACTATCGAGTTACGTCATATTAGTCCCTGAAAAAATGTCCCTTCTAAAGACAAGTAAGTATTCTTGACCTAATGTGACATTAAGTGATCGAGTTGACGTATTATGTATTAAATTCACAATGAGAGAGAGAAACATAGAAAACTAACTTCACGCTAAAATAGAAAATTTATTCTTTTTCATTTCGTTCATTAAAACGTAAACGTTCTTTTATCTTTTAGATTATTTTATTTGAAAACGGATATATAAATATATATCTATGTGTGACTTGTGACTTATATTTATAAACAGAAAGAATACAGACATGATGTTTTGACCACAAAACGGGATATATGTAGGTTGTAGAGGAAGATTTCCGCTATCTAGTGATGTATATATTATCAAATTCTGTTGCGTACCGTGAGAGAGAATTAAAGGTAACCGCTCTTTTTTTTAGACTCTTTTAGAAATTTTTTTTATTTTTGTGTTAAATGTTCTGCATTATAGAGTAAAGTGTCCTCTACAAAGTACCTTCGGTCTTTTTCTAAAAAAGTGTAAAAAGAGAGGGGTTACCTTTAATTTTCTCTCACGGTACGCAACAGAATTTGATAATATATATACCACTAGATAGAGGAAGTCTTCCTGTACAAACCTACATATATCCCGTT